CGTGAGCTGCGACACTCGTGAGTAAAAGGGCACGCGGGGCGGGACCGTGCCCGCCGAACGCCAGGCGATACGTGGAAATGGCCTTTGAGTTTCCAGAGAGTAATGGTAGCAAGGAAGGAAAGCTTCTTCCTGGTCTTTTAGGTCAACTGATGATGGAAGATAAGCGTTTAGGGCTCCTCCTACCCTGTGACTTCTGTGGAACTCCATCCCCTTGCACTGATGCAGCCCCTTCTCCCCCATAATATTCGCTCTCCAGTGACCAGGATTTCACGAAGATGAATATTTAGCACATATCCTTGCAAGCACATATCATTACTTTTCCTACAAATCTAGAAGAGAAACAGCCTTGTCGTTGGATCTTATTCTAGGTTTGAGCTTAGCTAAGCTTTAAATGAGTCTCTTAATGTAAGAAATGGAAGGTAGCTTTGGTATTTGGCTTGAGAGGCTGATATACCTTTGTTGTTATATTTGTTCATGAACCACCTACATGTTGGACGCCTGGTCTTCGGTGTAATGGCTTCAAATGTGGCTGCTACTGATGTAACCTTGTGTTTCTATGGACTAAGAGCTCTGTTTGGAACACGTGTGGTCTGATGATGTGACTTTCTGGTTATTTTTAGTGACTTCGAAATGCCTGTTGATGAAAGCTGAAGTGATGGGCACAAAATCAGGTCGTCGTGAGAAACCAAAAGATGCATTTGAAGATACCGACGGCCTTTATGATCCTGAGTGTGAAAACACTGGTGCTTTCAAGGCAAAGCAGTGCAATGGGACCACCTGTTGGTGTGTGAACACAGCTGGCGTTAGAAGAACTGACAAACATGATGCAGACTTGAAGTGCAATCAATTAGTCAGAACAATGTAAGTCTTTCAACAGGGTGTGCTGTGACATGAAAACATTCCTGTATGAGGCTCTGCCTTGTGTGAATGATGGTGCTGGGGATGACCGAGGGTGGAGCAATAAGCATTTGGTTACTGCTGGGATTTTTTTTCTTCAGATGCGAGGAGACATTGAAGGGGCTTGAAAGGCACTTTGCTTGTTTTGTCTTTATCTCACCGTTCTAGTTCTTATTCTGGGGGTAGTTGTTTGGGGGTTTTGTTTAGTATAAAAATATGCATGTGCTTTAAGAATAATTGTACTTCAGGTGGATCATCATTGAAATTAAACATGCTGAGAGAAATGCACCTCTGAATCCCGACTCTCTAAAGAAGTAAGTGATGACAGTAAGATGTCATGGCAATGTCTGCATGACCTACTAGATATCTAATGTATTGGTAAACAACTGTTTGACTAGAAATACACTTGTCTAACCTGTGAACTCATTTGTAAGACATCTTAGAAATGAGCTAGGCATTCTTCTTAGAATAGCTTTAATTTTTATTAGAAGCAAATGAACTGCTAGTGAGATTCACTTCCATTTAAAATCGATTGCTACTTTGTTTTTTTTTCTCAAGTCAACGTTCTAAGGGAAAGGGAAGGTAATAGGTGAAACTGCCCAGAAAGTAAACTGACAAAGATGTCAGAGGAACTACATAGAAACAGTAGGACAAAAGCTTAGCCCTTTTTTTTTTGCCCCTCCAAAACAAAATCCTACTTCCCTCTGTAAGAGTCATAGCAAGAAAAATGTGCTTGTAGCTATTAGATTCCCCCCCTTCCAGAACAAAAGCTGCTGCCCTCTAGCTCTTCTTCTGAACCCTCCAAACTGGTGAAACTCTTCTGTCTAGCACTGTAATGTAAGTGCTTATTTTTCAATATGTGCATCTTTACTGTTAGGAGTTAACTGAACTGTAGTGTAATTTAATAGAGAAAGTGTACTGGATTTGGTTGGGACAGAGTTAATATTCTTGATAGCAGTTCGTTTGGTGCTGTGTTTTAGACGGGTGACCAAACTAGTGTTGATAAGTCACCAGTGTTTTAGCTGTTGCTGAACAGTGCTTACATAAAGGCAAGGCCTTTTCTGACTCTCACTGTGCTGTCCCAGTGAGTAGGTTGGGGGTGGGCAAAAGGCTGGGAAGGGGACAGGGCTGACCTGAATTGACTGAAGAGATAACCTGTATTGTATAGTGTCATGCTCAGCAATAAATCTGGGCGAAAGTTTTACCCAGGTAGTCATTGCTCAGAGATTGGCTGGACATTGATCTGCTAGTGGTGTTTGTTTTTGCATCACTTGGGGTGCTTTATTCCCCCACCCAACCCTTTTACTTACCAGGCTGTCTTTATTTTGACCCATGAGAGTTTTTCCTTGTGTTTGCCCTTTTTTTGTGAGGGTTTAGCTGCCAGATGAGGCCCACACACCACAGAGAGACTGCAGGAAAAAACAGTTGCACTGGTCTTCCCTGCTTCTGAAAACATAGATGTAAAATAGTACTGTTTTAGCAGCAGTGGCTTTTCTAACCTTACAGGTTCTTCAAGGATATGATCACCAGTCGTTATTTGCTGGATGGACGCTATATAACTGATGTTGTGGTAAGAGGCACATAATTTTTAGTGAAGTATCAGAATTTTATTTTGTTATGAGTAAACATAACTAGTGCAGTAGAGCATGATTCTTGTTAGAAACTCTCAAAATGGTGACATTAATTGAGCAGTTAGCAAATAGCTGTATCTGAACTAAAATGCTGAGAAGCTATACTGCTTTCCTTAGTCTGTAGATGAACTCTAACTTTGCTGCACTCTAAAAAAAAAAAGTGGAATTTGAATCCTACTCTAAGCAGCTGGCTTGAGATCAAGTACCATAAACTTGATTCAGGATGTGAGTTCACAAGCTGAATCATAATATTTTGCTGTCTAATTGATGGCTGAGTTTAAACTATCTCCTTAATACCACACTATTTTTTTTTTTCTTTCAGTATGAGAAGCCTTTCATTACTATTGATTTGAAGCAAAATTCCTTAGACAAATCTGCTGGAGATGTGGACATAGCTGATGTGGCCTACTACTTGGAAAAAGATGTAAGTGTCCTACAGGCTAAGTCTGCCAAAGGCTGGATGTGTGCATTGCGCTGCATTTGGGAGTCTGGCTGCATACTGACTAAAGTAAGGTGAATTATTGCACTGCCTAGATGAATGCCTACTACAATGTGAGCTAGCAAGTCTCTCTGTCTATCTGTTTTTAGGTAAAAGGTGACTCCGTCTTCCTTAACAGCAGACTAAATGTCAGCATTGATAATGAAGCACTGAAGTTAGAGAAGACAGCGGTCTTCTACGTTGATGAAATAGCACCAGAGTTTTCCATGAAGTCTCTGACTCCTGGCGTTATTGCTGTCATTGTAGTAATAGTAATAGCAGTAGTTGCTGCAATTGTTGTGCTGGTAAGTTCTAACAAAGCTGCTAAGCAGAACTGGTAACAGTGCCATTTGGAAAGTAACAGTGTAGCAGGGTAACAGGACTCTGACAGAAAGTCTTCTGTAAATTGGCTTGCTTCTTCAGGCTTGGGGGGTGGGAAATTGGTGATGGACATACTGTCACTGTTTCATGTTACAACTGAGCGGTGTCACCTGGAGAAAACTGTATTGAGAACAATTCATGGAGGTGAAGAAAGTACCTCCTGGTTTAAAGTAGTTGAGTGACAGACAACCTCTTTTGTACCTCGCTTTGGATGGATGGAGAAGGGACAGCTTCAAGTTCTGTGCTTTAAAGTAAAAAACAGAAGAAGTACTTGTAAATCAAGATTAAAATAATTATGATGTCTTCTCTTACAGGTCCTCACAAGGAGGAGGAAAGGGAAGTACGTGAAAGCTGAGGTAATTAATTTCTCTCTGTGGTGTACCTGTGGGGAGGAGGATGACCAAAATCTAGAAACTCCTCTAAGTTTTTGATGTGGGTTAAAAGCTTACTTTGGGTGCTTCAGATGTGTTCTAGGAGACCAAAAACATTCAAATTGTGCAGCTAGTCTTAATCTCTGTAGTTCTGCAGTAGTTTCAAAGGCAACTGCTAATCTGCTATGTTTCCCAGGGCTAGGGGGTGGGGTGCCGTTCTGACCTCAAGTACTACTTTACATGTCTATAGCAAGGGGCTATACAATCCACAGGAAATAGTGATAGTCTGGACCTTTACTGAAGTATTTGCATGGAGCTTGCAGTTTCTGTTGTAGAGTTACTTTCCAATGGAATAGTAAATGGTGCTTCACACCAAGTGTGGAGCCTTTTGTAAAGTAATTCAAACAATGTTGTAGCCAAATAGTAACATCTGCATCCTGCACGCTCTAAATAGTGCTTTTAAAGAAGAAAAAAAAAAAAGCCGGTGGTTTGGGCTTACTTTGATTCTGTTAGTGTTGCATCATGCTAATGAAACTCTGGGCTGTTAAATTCCAATGACTTCTTGAGTCTTAAAGTTGAAAAGTAGCACAAATGTTGATTTCTTCTCTACCTCCTCCCCTCCAGGTAAAGGAAATGAATGAAATGCATAGAGGACTGAATGCTTAACTAAATGAACTGAAGACAAAGAAGATTCAAAGAAGAAGGCAACAAACATTGGAGGCTCGGATCTTAACTCTTAAAAGTTTCCGGATGAAAGGGAGGCAATTGTGCTCTCTTGATGATTGTTAGAATTTAACAGCCAAGACTGGTAACCATGCTCCTACTTCGACTATTTGTTGGGACTTAAATCTTAAATGCCCCATCTTACTCAAGTCAAACTTAACTATTGCTCCCTGATTTTATCTTTTTTGTGATGATGAAATGAGTTGACAACTGCTGTTACTAGGGTTTTGGAGCATACCTGCTTTTAAATGGTTATTTTACCCTTGTGGGAGTTTTGTTGAAAAATAATGATTTGTGTAGCCTTTGTCCTGTATAACTGAGCGTGATGTTTTTATGGCAGTATGTACATATTTGAAGTTGCTGTAACTTTTTTATGACTTGAATTAATAAAACTTTGAAACAGGCTTCTAATTCTTCCATGTTGAAATGATGATGATCTAAGTTATCATGCTTACAAATTTGTAGTTTAATGCTTCCTTAAAGCAAGCAACCTCAGCATAGGTGAAGATATTCTAGAACTCCAATTAGCAGTTTGTATTAGCCATCTAATATCTCAATGGCATGATTTTTTTTCTTAAAGCTGTGAAAAGCATGCAACAGGAGTGAAATGCTAAAATACGGATTGTTGTATAAAACCAAACATGCTGTGAATGTAGCAATTTCAGGAATGCATAGGCTGCTCTTTTAAATGCTACAAAAGTATTTTAAATAAAACAAACCTTTAATCTAGAACATCTCTGGTGTAGGGCTGGGGGGGATGGGTAGGCTTAGCATCCGCTAGTTGGTGCTGGGGAAGAACAATTTATACTATTACTGTGATTTGCTTAACTGTCCATTGCAAAGCTGTTGCATAGCTAGAAGCTGTTTCTGCTGTTATTGCTGTTTACTGTCATGGGGGCTGACCAAGCTTGCACAGGCTGTCTGCCTCCCAGAGCTTTGTACAAGAGAGCTGGTTTTGGCTGTTAGAAGCCTATGTCATGTATATTGGCTAGCAATCCATCCAGCATATCTGATTTATAAAGGAAATGCTGTAACTCCTGTTGCCAAAGAAATAATGAGATGCAAGATAAGGAACTGAATGACAAACCTTATTACTAATGTGTTTGTTTTTGTCCCCCTTCCCTCCCTGCCTACCCTCCCCCCCCAAAAAAAAAGCAACCAAGAAAACCACAAAAAATAAAACCAGGAAAAGTAGGATTAAAGTACTGAGAGGCTATTCTACGTACTGTTGATTAATTAAATGTGAAGCATAACCCATCGGAGAGCTTGTATGTGCCTGCTAGATACAACAGGGAAGTTGCTGATCTGTATTGAATGTACCTCCAATGTCATAGCTCACAGTATACCTTGTGCCTTTCAACAATGTAGTAACTTTCATGCGTGTGTTGCTGTGCTGGGTATTGTACATAAGTCCTGAAGTAGGGAATTTGTACCTGAGTGTTTTGCAGCCTTTTCAGGCACCATTGTCAGTGATAAGTTCTGTAGGGCAGGATCTCCCTCTGCTGATATTTGCCACTCCCTTTCTCCCCAGGTATGCAGGCGTTCTCCTGAGGTATGATGAATTTTGTACAATTCTGTAAGCTGTAAAACAAATAAAGCCTAGTTTTCAGTAACCTTGTCTATGGTGGGTCATGTGTATTATTGTCTTTCCCAACAGTTCAGTGTCCCCATCCTATACTTCCTTAAATGTCTGCAACAGGGTATCTTTGCTGTTTCTTTCTTCTGCCCGAGATCTTAATGCCATTGTTTTTTTCTCCTCCTTTTCCTACTCTTCATATCTCTATTTCATACCTTGTTTTTGGCCTGGGATGGAAAGTGATGTGTCCTGTGGCTGGGCTGGAGCTGCACATGTGCTGACTTGACTGGACTGGCTGGTATGTACCTGCTCTGTGGCCTGGACCTTGTCCCAATAGGTTTGTTTGAACATAATTTTCTCCGTACTTTTCCCACAGTAGAGGAAGGCATTTAGAAACTTTTCAATTTTTTACCTAATAGAGCTTTTTGTGTTAGATATGAAGCTTAGTGCTTCCATATGTTCTTCCTGACAAATATGTCTGAAACTAGCCAAGGGCTTAGAAAAACAAAGTTTACAGGATTTAAGGAAAAAATAGAAGACAGTTTAACTACTTCTACAACTGAAGGGAATGTACTCTGTTGCTTTCTAAACTCATTTACTATGGTACAAACAGGTGTTCCTCAGCCCTCAAGGCGCTGATCAGTAATAGGGGTTTCCTTAGTTACTGGTATTATTGATCTTTCTATAGGCTTTTGCTTTGTTCTGGTTTTTAGTGAACATTGCACTAATGCAACAGTCCAGCTGCATAAAAGTGTATTCAAAGGGAAATAGAAAAGCATGAGTTGAAAAAGACCTGAGAAATTAATGTCTTGCTATCCTACAGCTTATTGGTTTATAGGTTTTTTTATACCTAGATGAGAATAATGTACTGAAATTTTTTAAAAAAAAACCCCACTATCAGTCAGTGTCAACTCTCTACATATGCATACAGTATTCCTTCTCATAGACCAGCTTTGAACTGCTGGCAAACATTACTGCCATTTAAAATAATATAAAAATACTAACTGTTCTCTTTTTTGATACTTGGAAAATACTCAGCAAGGTTAAAAAGCAAGTTTCCTGTAAAAGAAATGAACATAACTTAATAAAGGACTAGTAGTCACTGCATCAGTTTTTAACAAGGTAAGTATTTTGATGCTTCCATTTGTCTAGTTCATTAATTTCCTTCTGTGAAGGAGCATATTTTTTACAATCTCAAGTTCTACACAAAATTGAGATTACATGTTTCCCTTCTTTTAATGTAATGTCAATTATGAGAAAATATATGAAGGGCAGATTGAAGATTTAATAAATAATTTGAAACTGGATAAATGACATAATTTTGTTACAGAGAGAGGTTGGACAAAAACTGCAAGAAACCCTAGTAATAATATTTATCTTAGTGCTTGAGTACAGCATGGGGAAAATAGTGTTTGTATGGGCAAATACACATCTATTACTTCCTTATGAATTATTACACTAGCAAATATATATTATTACTACTGCTGAGTAAAATTAAATAAATGTTTATGCAAAGACAATGAGAGACTTTTAGAAGAGGGTATGCAAATAATATATTTGAGAAAGCAATGACAAATAAAGCCTCTACAACTTTCTTCCAAGCCTAAGTAATCCCTAAGCGCAGTTTCCACAACTGCAAAATGAAAGGTCAGTGTTGCATGTGTAGGGTCTGTTGACACTCATTACCCTCCTGAACAGCCAGAGTAGGTTTGCTAAGAGAAATACATTGTGAACAATGTTTATTTATATCCTCACTTGCTGGACTTTGATCACTATAATATACAGGGAGTTTGGATTCCAGACTGCTTGAAATAGCCTGAAAAATATTATAGGGAACTAAAAATCTGAGCAGCTCTGCTGCTCCAGCTTTACAACTGGTAGTTAGTGAATTCTAGCAGCTCCCAGGAGAGAACTGCAGTCTGCTATCACAAAGATCTGTAGCTGGGCATGCAGACAGTCATGCACTCTGCAGGGATGCCTTCCTTGTATGTTGGGAATAGGTGGGCCCAAACCTGGAGAATTTGATGAACTTTGCTAAAATCTTTCTCCTCCTTGTCTTAGCAGTGGCATGCAACAGCAGATGTACACAAGGAAAGTGGATAAAAAGGAAGTGGTATGTAATGTTAGAGGCAACAATGACCAGCTTATAGTGTGTAAAAACTTCAAAATGTAAGAAGTGTTTTTTCTCTACTATCCCCTAAATGCACTGCAGAATTCTTAACACATTCAGGTGCCTTGTGCCAAATTGTTCTGAGTCAAAAAAGCACACAGAAGAAAGTTAAAATGTTCTTTACAAGGCAACAGCCACATTTTTTGTTTTCAAATTGCGTTGTCTAAATATTCTTATCTTTTAAATAATATCTTAAATCTTAGCAGCATTGTACATGTGCACACACAGATACACATCAGTCTGATACCAAATTTTCTGGTGACACCCCCACTAATTCGACAGCATTAGAGCTGCCACTGATCACACTTGTCTACTGATTAACTACTGGTGAAAAAGAATTTCTCTTTTTTCTCTGTAGAGTGCTTAAAGGGTATCCCATTTTCCTAACTCAGAAGCCATTGCAACTTTCCTCTCTATGCTACTTATGCCTAGGTAGGCAACAAAATTAATTAAGCTCTAGATTTGCATCCATTTTCCATCTGCCGTGGGTGTAACAATTACAGCTTGTCTCATTTGCTTCTGGTAGGCAAGGGAGAAAGGAAATGCCCTGTTAGCTACAGCACAATGAAGCCTGGCAACAGGGAAATGGTTGCCATTCAGAGTTAGACCTGTGCAAATCATCCCATGCACTGAACTGGCCTGGAAGAACAGATGGGACAAAGTAAACGGATCACAGAAGCTAAGGGGAAAGGCCATCAATCCTGTGATGTTTTGTCCAAGAGATGCCACAACATCAATGTTTTTCACGTATTGTGGTCACCACACTAAGAGCATTAGTGGCCAGTTTGGGCGGAGGCTTTTTGCCAAGGGGAGCCTGCAGCTCTGCAGAGCGGCCTTGAGCTGCAGTGCTGAATGAGGAGGTATAAACAGCCCAGGGGAGAGAGAGGAAAATGCTGCAACATACAGCAATTTCAGCTTAGCAGACATTATTTCACCTCTTTTGAAGGTGGCTAGAGGTCCCTGGAGCCCATCTCCTCTTCAGCTGTTTGCACATGACACTCTTCTTCTTGTCCTGTCTTCTGTCTTATCTGTAATCATCAGTGTGTACAAAGACAAGCTATTCAAAATGTGTATTTTGGGCTGACCTGGTATTATGGCCATGTAGCAAGGCTACCTGACACTATGGATGCCTTCAGAGGCTCATGTATTTGCTAAATGATAAAAATTTAGGCTGAATTTTCCAATGTGAGTACTGCC